GGTCAATAAATTAGTATTATTATCGTTTATTAAATAGAATTTGAAATACGTAAATTAAAGACAAAACAATGTGTAATTCATATTTTTTAGTATTTACCGTTCTCTTGCAATAAGCTCTTAATTTTTATATAAATACCACTTATTATGTGGAATGTCGAATATGCAAATTATAGATAACATATATCAGTCTACTAGCATATTCGTTGTGTTTGTTGTTTTTCTGTAATAAGTTAATAAAAAAAACTACTTCTTGGATTTACGTAATATTGATTAGTGTTAAGGCAATAGTTATTATTTTTTTTCACATGTACATTTTATTTAATTACTTAGTAATCATGAACGATAATTTGATATTAGTTCATCAATTATATTGGGTTGTGTAATAAGTTCCCGCGTTTTTTTAATTTAATTTTTTCCTGCAATTTTGTGTTTTATCAGGGTAATTAGAAAAATACTAGCAGATAGTTTAGTAGATCAAGATTAATGCTTGCGATTGAATATATATTTACCAGCATAATTTTAGGTGTGTATTATTTGTTATTACATATTACAAATCAATAGTTCTTGAAATCTTTTTCTTTTGATACAAAATTCTATAAATTATACTAATTAATTAGATTTTCAATTATTTTAAATGTAATCATTATACAATTTGAAAAAAATGCATGTCTTTACTTCTTATTTAATTACTCAAAAAACATGCATGATAATTGGTACAACAAGTATGCAAATTAAATAAAAACTACGGCCCTTTCAATAAGTATAATTTCAGGTATGTATTATTTGCTATTATCCTGTAATAAATTGTCAAGGTTTATCAAAAAAATACTTATTACATGTTTGTTTATTTCAAATCTATTGTTGCATATTTTCATACAATTTAATTTAAAACTCCATAAGTTACAGTAATTGTTATAAAGTTTAAAAAAGGTCGTTACATTTGTTGTTATTAAAAATTGAAATTTTATTTTTGAAATCCTTACCTTTTGATGCAAGTTATGATTATTAATAATTTTGCATTAGTTTACATTTGATTTAACTTTTCTTCTTGTATTGATTTGTTTTGATTATTTTATAATTTTACTTTTGTAATAAATATTATTATTCCTTTTTCAATTATTTAATCAACACATCAATAACTTTTCTTTTTAATTATTCTGAAACTATACATGATGATTTGACCATCAAATATGCCAATTAAATACAAAACTTTTGTTATTCCATTCAGAAAACGTTTTCAATTTTCTCACGTTTTTATATAATTTTCTTTAAATAGACTTTTGATATAAGTAGATCAATAAGCTACTGAAATACTTTTCTAGGCTTTCTTAATAATTCTATAATATAAGTTTTGACAAAGATATCATATGCTTGACATATCTTTTAGATTTCAATCTAAATGTCCATCAATTTATTGTTTTGTAAGGATTATTTAGTTTAGATATGCTTTGTATGCTAATACGCTTACTTCTTAGAGTGTACTTGGTTGCCTCTGTTATTTGAAATAAATAAGCAAATTGAAGTTTTTCTTTTCTCAAATATTTCAAATTTTGTACTGATTTCTTCTATTTGATTCAAATTATTGGTTTTTCAATAGTAGAAGATAAATTTGATGTTCTATAATCAAGCAGTGCACACTTGAGGTTACAGAGTTAGTTGCAATGAAAAATATTGGAATAAAATGTATGTTTGTGAAAAAAGTCTTCAACGTTATCGAAGAACAACCGCGGATAACGTAACTGAACTAATACGAATACTGGTATGGAATAATACGAATATTTTATACAATTTAATTTCATAATAATTGTAAAGTACATTTTTTCAAAATGATAATAAAATTTATTGTTTCAAATGATGTGTTACTAATATAAAGTACGAATAATTAGCAATTTGTGAAACAATTCATAACCAGGGGATCAGGTATGCGTTGGGGTCATACCGATCGTCTTCCTCTCTGAGCCTCTCGTGTGTATCGGACTTGCCTCCTCTTCACTATAAACGCAACCAATTCCTGCTGCGATATGAGCTGGCAAGATAAAATACTAGGCGCCACCAACATTTTTTTTAATAATATTGAACAAATCTTGAAATACTCGCGAATTCCTCTGCAGGTCTGGGTTTCTCATGTTCTCCTAGTTTTTACGATCCGTCTAGGTCACTGTCTCAAAAGGAGGATTATGTAAAAGTCGGACAGCCAACTATAAAAACTACGCTACGAACAATTAACCTTTCCAAACAATTGTAAGAATATCACCCTTCAGACCTTATCGGCAGCGGGAGACATAAAAACTCCCGCCGGCGCCTATGACGTACCTCCCACTTGGCAAATTAGCCCCTACCCTTATAATAGTACTTCGTATTCAGGACGTCCTCTTACATATAAGACGACACTTATGTTATTTTAAGTTAGTCCTAGTTAGTCCGCGACTCATGTGAGTTCTAGGAAGAACCTAGTCCTAGTAATAGTTCTAGTTTCATACTACTGTTGACCAGCAACCTATGCTTGTAGCAACCCGGAAATAAACCATTTGCTGTCTGCAAGAGTCTGGTGTGTCCTCGCGCACATGTCCTGCGCATTCACTCTACTCGCACTTACGTATTGTGGTCACTCGCGCACTTTGAGCTCCCAGAGCTTAGTTTTCCTCCCGCTGTATCCGTCTTTCGTCGGTTTCCTTCTGCTTGAGAATGGACGTAATGAAATCGGCCACCACGTTCCATCTCTCCTGGCCCGCCAGCATGATGCTAACCAAGTTCTTTGGTTCAATGACCTCGCCCAATTTTGCCTCAGCATCTTGCTTCCTCGTCGCCCAGCGGTGACATCTGAAGAGGGTATGTTCGGGGTCGTCCTCCTCCCGGCAGTACCAGCACCCTGGGTTTTCTTTTCTTGCTATCCGGTGGAGGTACTTTCCGAATCAGCCATGTCCCGAGAGAGCCTGCGTCAGGTGGAAAGTGACCTCTCCGTGCTTCCTTCGAATCCACTGCGTGATATTTGGGATCAGCGTTCTGGTCCATTCGACTTTGTGCCGCCCCGCCACTATTCTTGCCATCTTAACATGGTTCGCAAGCGTGCAGCCTTTCTGGTTTCTTCGCCCCTACTGCCTTCGTAGAGCTCTAGTCTCTCTCTGGCCAGTAGCTCAATAGGAACGGTTCCTGCAATGACCTGCACAGCATCCAATGATATGGTCGAGTATGCACAGCATGCTCTTATTGCTCCCTTTCTCTGCACTCTTGCCAGAGCCGCTCTGTATTTTGCTACTTGCATAGCATTCGCCCATGCTGGTACAGAGTACAGCATTAGAGACTGTGCAACTGTACCCAGCAGTCTTCTCTTACGTTTCTTTGGCCCTCCCATATTCGGCATCATCATGCTTATAGCTGCAGTAGCCACTTCTTCACGCTCCGCCACGTTCGCTACGTGCTTTCCGAAAGAAAGGTAGCTATCTATTGTGACGCCCAGGTATTTTATTGTCTTCTGAGGGGCAATGTCAGTGTCTGTGACTGGGAAAGTGACTGGTTTCGTTTTTCTCCTGCCAGCCTAGGACTTTACCCCTTCCGGCTGCTGTATTTTGAGGACGCCACCATAGACAATATTCCACAGAGTGTGGACTAGCACCGATCCCTGTGGCACGCCACTAGTGATGGTCATCTCTTTTTCTCCTGATTTGCTCATTATTCTGATTTTTCTGTCGCTAAGGTAACTTTGTATTATCTTATCGTTGTAGGTGTTTACCTCTCTTCTTCCATGTTCGCTTGTAATGTCTTTCCATGCCACGGTGTAAAAGGCATTTCTGACATCCAGCGTTAGCATCTTCTTGTTCTCTGCCATGACTGCATCGGTTGTAGATCTGCCCTCCCTGAAGCCGTGCTTATCGGACAGTCCTCCGCATCTTGCGATCTCGTCTTTCAGTCGGGAAAGGATCAGCTGTTCGTAGACCTTGCCCATAGGGTCAATCATGCATAGTGGCCTGTATGATGATGGGGCTTCTATGGGTTTCCCCGGCTTCTTCACTAGAACGAGTTTTGCAGTCTTCCATCTGCTTGGAAAGTGTCCTCTATGTGCAGCATTATTCAGGGCAGCCAGCACTGCTTTTGGAAACTCCGTCACTGCGAGTTTGGTGACCACTGCTGGTACGCAATCTGGCCCTGGAGCTTTCCCTATTTTATGCGTTCGCGAGCTGCCTCCAGTTCCATCTCCATAAATGGTCCATCTCCATAAATGGTCCAAACAGCGTGTTCTGCTGTCTCGATTGGAGGCTGCAGGTTTTCGAACCGTGGAAAAAGCGCATCTGCGACCTGCCATGCTCTCTCAGCTGTCATTCCTGCCATCGGTTCTCTGGGTTTCAACTTCCTCTTTACAATTTGGTAGGCATCTCCCCATATGTCGGTATTTGCATCATCGCAGAGTTGTTTCTGCTCTGGCTTTCCTTGATGGCTCCTTTCAGTCGTTTCCTTACAGCTGACATCTGCCTTCTAGCCTACTTAATCCATGTAAACACCAGAAAAAATTATAAGATTATTTGATAATAAAGTAATTTCTATAATAAATCAAAGTCGTAATAAGAAATTCTATACTAAATGAATAATTTGCCTCGAATAACAATAACAATCATACAACATATTTTCTTATCATTATTTAAAGAAATAAATGTAATGAAAATGAGAGCGTGATTTATTTGTACACAGATTATGATTTGAAACCGGATAATTTTGTTGTTGTTGATGTTTTATTCTAATCTCACGTGCAGTCACGTAGCTTTATCGTTTTATATTAGGAAATAGGAATGCATACATATTTAAATGATAAAAATCTCGAAACACGTACAAAAAAAGTACCGTTCTTACTTTCGTGTTCATAAAAATACTGCAAATAATTTTTCATTTCCATGCAAAAAAAAATGTATGTAAATTTAAAAAAGTATCGTTCGCCCTTTGGCCAGCCTATTAGTATATATATTTTTATTGTATGTTAAAATTTATTTATGTATAAATTGTACTTTTTTTTTCTCTTTTTATGTATCGATGTTTGGTCAATAAATTATTATTATTATTAAAAAAATATAAAGATTTTTGAATTCGTGATGTAAAAAATGATGTTATTTTTGTTCTTAGTAATACAAAAATTCAAATATTTGACCCAGTTTCAAATATATTTTTATAATAATCCACATCTATTTAAATAGACAATTTTTAATTAAATTATATATTAAATAAATAAATCATGTAACATTCATAATACAAACGTATAAAAAAAATAAAACAATGAACTATTTTCTGATTACGATAAAGATATTATTTAATTATAAAATTATTTTTTTACGAAAAATAATATTTAGGCCTTCTTTTTGTGATCATTTAAATGAGTATTGTGAAGTCTTATTATAATAATATTTTAAGATATTTTTGCAGTAACTGTAGCAAATCTTGAGTTTCAAGAGTAACTCATTTAGTAATATATATGATGCGCACTGCTTAATTTTCAAACATGGTGTATATTCAATTCTCGCAGTTACCTGATATTGTTAAAACAACAAAAACAAATGATATCTTACCTTGAAACTGCCAATGGACAAAAGGATGGATTTTTTGGGGATCCTGAAGCCAGTGCTTATCATGGCCTTGAGATAAGTTTCGTGTCTGTTGTCTCCGAAGCAGGCGACTTCTCCAGTGGAAGCCATCTCCACGCCCAGCATGAAGTCAGCACCGGCCAATCGGGAGAACGAGAATTGTGGCACTTTAACACCGACCTTTCCGCAACCGCTGAGCACGTCCACGGGCTCCACCTTCTCCCCGACGATGACTCTGGTGGCCATCGCCACGAAGTCGTGATCGAGCGTTTTCGAGACAAACGGGAAACTCCTGGAGACGCGCACATTACACTCGATAACTTTCAAATCGTTATTCTAGAATTAAGAAATATTATGTAAGTAAATTTGTCATAGGTTGCGGTTGTTTGTTTGCGTTACCTTGGCGATGAGTTGCATGTTGGAAGTCCGGTGACTTCCAGGTTTGCTGCGATTGCTTTGCAAACCTGTTTGATCTTCATCAGAGTTTCGGGATTGATGTCTTGTGGTGGTGTGACCAAGGTGGCATCTCCTGAGTGAACTCCAGCATTCTCCACGTGTTCGGATACGGCAATGCAAAGGATAACGCCATCGCACGCTACAGCATCCACGTCGATCTCATTGGATTCCAAGATGAACTTGAAAATGACGACGGGGTGCTCCTTACTGACGTCGCTGGCTGTGTTCAGGTAAGTTTCCAGATCTTGATTCGAGTGCGCCACGTTCATGACCGCACCACTAAGTACGAGTAAGACTTTCAAACAGCCATTCTCGCTTTTTTATTTTTTATGATGTGCGCTAAGAGGGGGTCTAAAGTCGCTAGTTAATGAATTCGCCACCTTTACAACAACGCCAATCTGACTAAAATACCGATATCACCAAAAAATTGCTTTTATGTTATTTAAAAAAAAACCTCTAACAGAAACTTGACCTAGGCCACTGGATATGAAAATACCCATATAACAAACTTGTTTGTATATATTTTTAAACATAAAACCTTAGGGCAACTTCACCTAACCTAAGATTTTCTCGGAACTAGGGCACTAGAGTGGATAAGGAAATAAATACGTTTATAAATTATTGAGATGTATTTCTAAAATGAAACCAAAGTCAATACAGACAAACCAAAAAGAAATGTAATTTATTGTTATACAGAAAAATAAATCATAATAAATATTTGAGATATCGTCTTTCAAACTAGGATAATTGCAAAAATACTAAAATTGAACACTGTACCACAGATCACAAACGTTGCTGAAACAATGGCGTCGAAAATAGTCATCGCCGTTCTCTAAAGTAAACAAAACTATAGCGCCGCGCTTGCCCCCACTCTCATCTCTCATAAATTAAAATCAAAGATTGGAGAACTGACTCGCTTTCGGCAGTCCCACCATCCCGAGCCAGGTTAGCCGACCTATCCCTAGCTATGGGGGTATCGGTAGGCAGCTTTTCGGGCCTGTCGACCTCGCTAATTGAGCGAGGGATATACATTCTCAATCCACGGGGCCGGGGAGCCATGGGGGGGATATCGGAAGGGGCTTCGGCTTCCGAGTAGAGTCTCCCTCCTCAACCCGGCATGGGCAGGATCCCGAAAGAGGATGCAATCGTGGTTGGCAGTGGTAGGCCCAATATCGCGAGCAAGCGGGGTCATTTGAGAACCTGCGGCGTGGTGTTGCGAGAGCAGGTACCTCCCTCTGTGGTTTCTTCCTGCGCCGACACAGGCACTCAAGATCCTGACTTGAGTAGGCGGATAGATAGCGACCGAAGCCGGTTCTCATGGCTGCAATGGGTTTTAGCTAACCCTCGCGAATTTGAGTAGGCCCGTAAGCTCCCTCGGGACCTTGCGGCCTCGGCCATGTAAAGCTTAGCTGCAAACGTGGTGCTACCTTGTCCCCTTCCCTTCAGGAAGTTGACATATCAAGGACTGATCCATCAATAGAATCTAGAGATGTTCCCAATATTCTAGCCTATTGCCTATGGAGATCCATGGCTATGTTGTTTGGCAATTGTCCTTCCATGAACAATATGATTCCAGTCGGATTTTCAATATTGTAAATATCCATGACGACCTCGAAAGAGATCTCCTCGAAGTACAGACTATCTGCCATGTCGTAATCTGTGCTCACAGTTTCCGGATTGTAATTAACCAGCGTGTTCCATGCGTGCTGCAGAGCATGATCACTGTCTGCACCAAAGACCTCGATGAACAAACATCCATCAGTGAGGTGGAAACTGCACTGAGAGCCGCGGCAGGGACGGATGCTTGCGTCAAAAACATAAGACCTGCACAGGGGAGGAAGCAAATAGCGACAGCCGAAATCCCACAAGCCGCAGGAAGGAAAGTCATAGAATGTGGCCGCATAAGGATCGGCTTGGTCTCCTGCAGAGTAAGGGAGCACGTAGTCCTTCTCCGATGTTTCAGGTGCTGGAACGTCGGCCATCGAGCACAAAACTGCACTGGCACTGACAGAACGAGGTACTGCCTGAGATGCAGCAAGGAGTGCCACAAGGCCAAGGACTGCCAATCGGCAACGTACTGCCCGCTATGCTGTCTAGCGGGACATCAGACAGGCAACACGCTATGCCCGATATATAGACGAGCGCTGAAAGATCAACAGCAGGTTGGCTGTCGCAGAAATAGACACTAACATCATACAGACGAACGCAAACAGGTACAGGGTTTCTCTGACATGCTTTATGTCGCAGCTAGAGAAGTGAATGCAGTCAGCGAACCGAACAAGGCACATATGGTCATCAGTACTTATTAGCTCTATGCACTTCTAAATGTGATAATAATTCTTAATAA